CAAGCCATGGGGCCGGCCCCAGCCCTACTGGTCTTTTGTTTTCTTTTTCAAATAGTCACTGTCCTGTGGCCCATTGTCTGGTAGTATGTCTCAATTGTTGGTAAGGGAGTGTACTCCAGTAATAGTGTCTTGTTGAATGGTTAGCTTTTTTTTTTTGGCACCAATGGCAATATGAAAAGTAATCTTGTGAACTTTGTACATTATTTGAAGTTCTTGACATTTTATTTTTTAAAAACAGCGCTATTGATGTATGGTTTACATACCAAAAAAATTCACCCATGTATAGATCAGTGATTTTTTTTTTTTTTTAAAGATTGCCCCTGCACTAACATCTGTTGCCAATCTTCCTTTTTTTTTCTCCCCAAAGCCTCACTACATAGTTGTGTATTATAGTTATAGAGTTGTAGATCTTCTATGTAGGACACTGCCTCAGCATGGCTTGATGAGCAGTGTGTAGGTCCGCACCCAGGATCTGAACCAACAAACCCCAGGTTGCCCAAGTGATGCGTGGACTTAACCACTACACCACTGGTCCGGCCTGATCAGTGATTTTTTAAAGTAAATTTACAGAATTTTGTAACCATCACCACAGGGGACTTTTAGGACTTTCCTTTACCCAAGTAAGATGCCTCATGCCCATTTACATTCATTACCCGTTTTTACCCTGCAGTTCAGGCAACTATTTAATTTACTTTCTATCTCCATGGATTACTGAAGATCCTAAATCTTTTATAAAAATGGAAATTGCTAACAATTCAAACATGTACCAAGTATTATGGGTTTAGACTCTACTTTATAGAGAGTTGTGAACATCTAAATTATAGGTCTTAAACTTAAGTGAGTTTGGGTCAGAAACTACATTTATTGGGCGGAGAGGAGCTTCAGTCTGCTGATTTGAGTAGATCTTTTGAGATCTTTACTTACCAGTTTTATGTAAAGCACTACTACAGATATTGGGTGCCAGACATGGAGATATCCCTGATGTCATTCTTGTATCTTGGAGGACTAAGTTGGGTAGATGGGAGAAGAGGCAAGTATAAAGATATTAGAATCAGTTATGATGAGTGTTAGAGGAGTGTCAACGGTGTGTATTGAGAGTGTACATAGATTCTCTTCCAGGAAAAACAGCACAACAGATGCATAGCAGTTTGCATGCGGAGAACAGAGGTTGGAAGATATTCTGAGTAGTGCTCAGAAATTTATTTTTTAGACAATCCGATACCCTCCAAGTTCTCATAAAAAATGTATTTAACTGCCATCAACCTTTGGTAATTATAGTGAAACATCCCTTCTACATCTTACCACCCTTGCTGAATTATTGTTTTCATTCCATTATGTTCTCTTCTGATCTCGAGTCATACAGTTCCACATGGAAAGTGGTGTCCTCAAAACATATCTTTTACTTTCTTATTCTGATGTTGCTTTAGTTCATAACCACCATTTAAATGATTTCATTTTCACATCCTGAAGTAGATGATTGAAAATTTACTTAGCCAGTTTACTTTGCTGGTTACAAATTTTCCCTATTGAAAACAGTGGAGAACAATCTTACTGGAAATATTTTCATTGTTAAAAGTACAATTATATCAGATTTTTTTATGATACTGGGCTACCTTTATGCATAAAGTCAATTTCCCATTCAAAAGTAATTTGTGTGTTTCCTTTTTTAATGAATATAGTTAGCAGTTTGAGACCCTTGACCAGTTTTGCTTAGATTTGGTTGCCATACTTAATAAGAGCATTTTATTTAGTATATTTGGGAAAATGATAACATTATTATAACACATGTTCCCTTGATTACTAAGAAGATTGCCCATATATCCATATAAGCATTCAGTAGTTACATTCACTTTCCACTTAGGAAGTCTTAAGCAGGTACATGATAATACGTTTGGTTTGTGGTGAAGAAAGATTACCTAGCTTTATTTTGAAGGGACTGTGTGTGTGGCAACACTGAGGTTGAAAACATTTAGGGGGTTTAGCCAAGAAGCAATATACTAACTCAGGAGTAATTCAGATGAAGAAACTCAGGGGTATCAAAATGTTGATTTTGAGATAATTGGTATTAACTTGGGGCTAGAGAATTAAGCATACCTTAAATAAGGATGGAAAAAGAAACTATTACATTTTGGGAATGCAAAATGAAGCTTATTTTTGAAACGTTTAAGAATTTCTGTGTACTACTGAATAAACTTTGTCACTCTTAGGTGCATAAACTGTGGGCGTTAAGGTGAGAGAACAGTGAAATTTGTTGTTTACTTGGTGGGCATGGGAGCATGGGGGAGATGGTTTTGAATATGTTATAGTGATTTCCATGCAAAATTGTCTACCTGTTTTAAAACATGGTAGATTGCAGTGCAGCAAGATCGTGCTTTCCTCTGCAGGCTCCATCTACTGTTTGAAGCTTCTGCCCCAGCTTGCATTGTTTGTAGGAGAACCTGCGTCATACCTTTATCTGTAGCCTTCCCTTAGGTCTTAAGGATCCCGAAACTTGACTGCGGACATTGGATTTGGTGGAACAGCAATCATGGTAAGATGTATATTAAGGATAGGGATGAGAAGCTACTGTAAGGGCCCAACATAATGGTTTGCCAGAGTGTGGGGTTATTTTGGGTTCTTAATGTTAGAAATAAGATATCTATAGAGATGGTATCTCATTGCATGGCTTAACAACTGGAGAAGAGCTATGTCTCTTATCCTGTTACAGTGGTAAAATGGCTTGGAAAACATCTTTAGAGAAATCTTATAATGTGAGAAAATACAGAAGATAGTTTTTGGTGATAATTACGGTAGTAATTCTCCAGATGGGAGGCTCACTCAGGTCAGGTAACAATAGACATCAGGTCTACTTTGAAAATGGAGGGCTTTGGAGCTTTGAGTCTTGATTATTACAAAGGAAAGCCGTTTGTGGAGAGAGAGCATTTTCAGTGGGAAGGGTTATCCCACAGGGATAAAAATTGGTTCTTGAGAAGATTTTCTTGAGACACATGCTTAGATTTTATACTGGTTTGTGGTCTTCCAAAGGGCCACAGTATATAAGTAAGAGATATAGCATATCTGCATATTAAAATGTCAGTGGAGTGGGTGAGTAGGATAAAAGTCTTTTAAAAAGGTGCCTTAGAAAAACAAAAATGAAAGAGGAACATGTTTGAGAAAACTGATAGAAGTTCTGAATGATATGGGCTGTGGGTTGTGATGGAACTAGGACAGAGGCCTTTGGGGAACTAAAAATTAGTGCATTGTATTTGCGTTGGGTTGTTGGGAGTTTTTGATGGAGGTAGGGATTTCTCATCGTTTGACTAAGTGTCTGGGGAAAAAGAAATAGTCCATGGGGTCAAGTGTTCGGTAGGAGGGTGGGATTTGGGATTATAATTTGGAAAGCAGGATTGGAATGATGGAATACTAAAGGGGCCCTGGGTTTTGGAAGCTGTATTGTGAAGGAAACATAGGATGATGGGAAACTGCATAGGGAGAGATTCTGAGACATAGAGGGTGCCATAGAGGAGTCCTGGGTCCAAATGTGGTCCAGTATCTTGAAAAGGTGTGGAGGAATGTTGGAGAAGAGGTGGAAGAGGGGATGTATTAAGGAAACCAAATTTGGATTGGTATAGGAGTTGGGAAGAAACAGGAGAGGGTTAGAAAGTAGCTGCAGATAAGCTGATGACTGACTGTTCTCTTACTTCTTCCAGACTGTGGGAAAGAGCAGTAAGATGCTGCAGCACATTGACTATAGAATGAGATGTATCCTGCAAGATGGCAGAATCTTCATTGGCACCTTTAAGGCTTTTGACAAGCATATGAACTTGATCCTCTGTGATTGTGATGAGTTCAGGAAGATCAAGTAAGACTGCTTTGGGTTTGGGTAATGGAAGATTGAGAGAAAGGCAGAACAGGGGTAAGGGCTTATAGAGGGTAACTGAAGGAGGCAGGGAAAATGTGACAGGGCTGGTCCACCTGGCCTCATCTCTGAATTAGATCAGTCTTCTGGTTTTAAAGTCATTGTATCCACACTACTTGTTTTAAGTTTGCAAATACAGTCATGAACTTAACAGAAAATGAAACTGCAGTGTGATCAAAGTATCCACTTATGTTTATTTTAAAAATTGAGAAATGTTATAGGTTGGCTTCTGCAGCATTCCTTCAGACTGAAGGGATCTTAAGAACAGCAATTTTTCTTGACGGTTGAGGATTTGGGATGTGATTAGAGTACTCCAGGCCAGGTCTAGCATTTGTTCATCCAGCCTCTTTGCATGCCCTTTTTTTTGTCTGAATCATGTTGAGTGTTGATTTGGTGTCAGTGTCTAACTCCCTTTGCTTATTTATCTTTGTGATTTTCCCATTTCATTTTAACCTCTTTGTGCTTGTGCCTTACCACATGAGGCCACCGTCTGCACCTGTGATTGCGGAGCTTTAACTATGTGCAACAAGAGCGTAGAACTTAGTAGACTTGAGTGACATCCTGCTTTCACTCAGATGACTTTGTTTCAGGCTTTTATATTGGTGCAGAACTTAACAAGGCATCACCTTGGTCCCTGGCTTGATTTCTTGTATTCTCAGAGTTAATGATACACTGTCCAGAAATTTAATTTGCCCACTTCACTTAGGTTTTTTAGATATGAAAAAAAAGGTGATATTCAACTTTGCCTGCCTGCTATAGTCTGAAGTCTGCTCTTCTCAGACAAATTTGAATAGAATTCATAGTATAGTCTCTGTCCTTGCCTTTTCTTTTCTTCTTAGTCTGCTTCCTACACACCAAGTTGGATAATTTCAGAAATTCTAGGATGGTGGATGCTTCAGTGTAAATTTTTTTTTGTTTAAATAGTCCATTTTACTGAAAATAATAAAAAACCTTATGATGTTGATAAACACTAAAGACGTTTGATGTGAGCTTTAAACATATTCTTAATTTCTCTGTTTCACTCTTCTCACAAAGTTACAGGGATAATTTCATCTAAATAATGCTTTAAGTCGTGCATTATTCTCTGTGATAGTACTCACTGGGGTTTGTTAAATGGTACTGTATTAGTTGCTTTTACGTGTATTATGTGGTATAAGCCTCATGCATGTATGATGTTTGCTGCTGACAGTGGAAGAAACTAGAATTGCAGGGGTTTTTAATTTTTTATTTCTCATGGTTATATAGTAAGTGGTAAGGCTAGAAATACACAGGTGTCTGTTACTCAAAGCTTTTTTTTTTTTTCCTTTACCATTTGGTATACCCTCATTGCCTGTTACTGTTGCCATTCCTTATTTCAGTTGTCTGCCATCAAGATTTACTTATTTAGTTAAAAAATGATTTTAAAAAATTTACTTTGCATCGTAGCGTGTGAAAACTGAGGTTTCAGTTTTGCCTTTCTTAAAAGTCTTAGCTATGTCACTTGCATCTGTTTCATAAAGAAGAAATAAGTTTTGCTGTAGTTTAACATTGAGGGAACATTCTGGAAGATTAAAGTTTGATAGGAAAAGATCTTTACCATTTACTCTTAATATTAACTGAGTCTAGTTTTTTTTTGGTCACAACTAACTGAGCATGAGCACCTTGGCATCAGTTATTGTCTTAGTTGATACCTAATGATCTGTAAATATTTTAGTGAGTGAGCAATCCCTAACTTATCTTACTGAAATTTACTTCTGATTTATAGGCCAAAGAATGCGAAGCAGCCAGAGCGTGAAGAAAAGCGGGTTTTGGGTCTGGTGTTGCTGCGTGGGGAGAACTTGGTTTCCATGACTGTGGAGGGACCACCCCCTAAAGATGTAAGGAAAATGTAGGGCAGGACAGAACATTAATGTGGAAGAACATCACATTACTTGAGATGTTTGCTAAAGCAGGGTACAACAGAGGCACAATATTATGTACCTTTGTCAAGTCAAAAGTGCCTAGCACTTGATGTCAGTTCTTGCTTGTCTATACTTGGGGATTAAGGATTTTCTGATGAATTATTCTATGTGCTGGGTACTACCTAGATAAGGGTAGGAGTTGCTGATTTATTTTCTCTTGGTAGGGTCATAAAAATACATATACTCACAGTTTGACAAATGTACATTTAATCTACAGGATGCCTCCATGGTGCACTTGTCCATTTATTCCTTTGAATACAGAGCTAATTTGAGATACGTCATGTGTGAAAATGGTGGGAAGGAGTGATCTTTTAGGAATAAGATTATTGATAACGTTGGTAAATCATTTGATTTCAAGCTATAATTTTTCTTGTTTCAGACTGGTATTGCTCGGGTACCACTTGCTGGAGCTGCAGGAGGTCCTGGGGTTGGCAGGGCAGCTGGCAGAGGTGTACCAGCTGGTGTTCCAATTCCCCAGGCTCCTGCTGGGTTAGCAGGCCCTGTCCGAGGGGTTGGGGGGCCATCCCAACAGGTGAGGAACAAGGAGAAAGTTTTATATTATTGGGAGGAAGTGCCTAGAACCTGAGGCTGAGGGGATTTAAAAGCCTAAGTGTACATCCTGTACTATGTAAGCAGCGTAGGCTATAGAGATCACTTGGGACACAAATATATGTTAGGAAGGGAATAGATTAAAGTCACTTTGATAAGATTAACTTACTGCTGTTGGTTTAAAGCAGGTGACATCCTGCTTTCACTCAGATGACTTTGTTTCAGTCTCTTTACTTTCAGGGAAGTATGGAAGGATAAAACAGAGTTGAGAAAAGGCAAAAGGGTTTATTAAATTAGAAAGTGTCATGGTCAGTTTAAAAGAGAATGTGTTACTGATCCAAGATTTTTTAAATGAGATAATGGGAGAAGTGCAAAATTGCCATAATGATTTCCTATTTAATAGGTCATGGTCCACCATTTATTTTCTGTGTTTGAGTAATATGAGGATATGCCTTACCTTTAATTTCTGACCATGCCTTCTCAGGTAATGACTCCACAGGGAAGAGGCACTGTGGCAGCTGCTGCAGTTGCTGCTACTGCCAGCATTGCTGGAGCCCCGACTCAGTACCCACCAGGACGGGGGACTCCACCCACACCTGTGGGCCGAGCAACCCCCCCACCAGGTAAGGAATTGATGAACAAGAAGTAAAAGAATTTGGTTCTGAGATATAGGTATGGGTCTGTGAAGAGATTGTATCATCTTGAGAAAGTGATGACTAAAACCAGCTCTCACTAAGAAGATACTGAGTTAAGACCCATCCTAAGTACCTTACTAGTTGCTTGGATTATGTTTCCCACTTCTGAATATTGGTTTTTAATGAAAGGCTATCAACTCTTGAGTTGGGAATGACTGACTTGGTAATGGTCAAGGAGAAATAGTTCAACTCTCTACTTGGTACCTGGGCCCATTTCTTTAAATATTATCTTGTGTTTAATTCTGTCATCTTAGCTGAGCTGATTTATGAGGGCTTTATTGCTGCTGTGTTTCTTTTCTAGGCATTATGGCTCCTCCACCTGGTATGAGACCACCCATGGGCCCACCAATTGGGCTTCCCCCTGCTCGAGGGACGCCAATAGGCATGCCCCCTCCAGGAATGAGACCCCCTCCACCCGGAATTAGAGGTGAA